ATAGACGAGAAAAAAAAGCATAAGTAACAATAACAAACTGTAAAAAACGAAAAAGTTGTTGATTCAGAGCACGGAAGAAATATCTACATTCAAGTTTTTTTTGTTTCGTTTGATACTACTCAAAACAAATATGTAAATACCGCATTCATTTCGATGTCTAGTTGAATAATTATTTAAATCTTCTTTAGTATACTATTTCGTTATGGCTCAAAGATTTATGCGAAGAAATGATGATGATGATCAAAGTTATGATGAGTTAGGAAATGATAGAAGTAAGATGAAATTTTTAATAAATCGATATAATTTTACAAAAAAAAACGTTTTTACATATTCTTACATCTTTATAACATTGATTAAATATTTTTATACAGATTCAACATGTTAAATTATATAGGTCTTGAGTTGTATGATGATGGTTATACAGGAAAAAATGTTGATCATAAAATAATTCGGGTAAATTTTTATTTTTAAATCTTTCTTAATAAAATATTCATTTTCAGGGTCCACGACTTGAACAACTTGTTAATATATGTCCTCATCCACCATATATTAGAAATATGAAAGAAGTACCTCCATCTGATAATGTTGTATTTATGATCAAAGTAAATAGAATTATAGTAGCATAAAAAATTATTTGTTCTTTTAATTAGCCATTTAGATATGATCAATCTAAACCTAATGATTATCCATTTTCAATAAATGGTCCAAATCGTTATAATGATGTATGGAATGAACATTATGTTCGGATGCCATGTTCACCATTATACGTTTCTGTAAGTACGACGGTGTAAATTCTTATCTGAATATTTTTTTTTCGTAGAAGAAAACTCGTCAACCTCAATGGCCTATTTTTTGTCAGTTATTATTACAACTCAAACAAAAATGTGATAATCGATCAGCGACTATTGACGATTTGAAAGTAGTTATTTTAAATTAAGAAAATTTATTTTAATATATTATTCATAATAGAATGCAATTGAAACATTTGCCGGACGTTCTTACAATATAGATAGTCTTCGATTTCTTATTACTGAAGTGAGTTTCAAAAAATTGTTGTTTATAAAAAGAAATATTTATTGATAATTATTTTAAAGAGTTTCTCGGCTGAACAACGTTCATATTTCATGTCTGCTGTTCTAGCAAATATATGTACATTAGCATTAAATATGGATATATTATGTAGTCAAGTATATTGATATTTGATCTTTTTCATTATAAATCTTACATTTTTTTTATATTATAATTAGCCACCACCTTTATTACGTAGTGGATCAAATCGATCTCTAACAATGTCACAGCAACAAGCGGCTTCGCTATTAGCGGCATCATTTTTTTGTTTATTTCCATTTCGTTCGGATGGTAAAGCCAAAAAAGAATATGATCATTTTCAAAATCCAAATTTTAATACGTAAGTATCTATATATTTATCTGAATTGTTGGTCTTCTTTTATACAATACTATAATATGTAAATTTAATAGATTATATCAACGTGGACCTAAAGAAAAGATCGAAAAACTTAGATGTATCTTGCATTATTTCGAACGTATTACTGCAAAAAGTAGAGAGGAAACTTACATTAATAAAAAATTCAATCATTCTTTTATCTAGTGCCTAATGGTGTCATTACTTTTCAACGTTATTCATTGCATCATCAAGATTCACCAAAATGGGCTCAATCTGAGAAAGGTATTGCTCCTATGCATTTAACAACAGGAAAACGAATAGAAGATATCAACTGTGTTTTACAAGTAAATAAACTGAAATTTGTTTTTTTTTCTATAAAATTCTACTTGCTTTTTATCTAGGTGGATTTTGCTAATAAATATATAGTAAGAGTATTAAAAATTAATGAAATCTGTTGAATAAAAATATGTATATTGATTGAATAGGGTGGTGGTGTATTAACTGCAGGTTGTGTACAAGAAGAAATACGATTTTCAATTTGTCCTGAAATGCTTGTTAGTTTACTTGTTTGTGAAGCTATGGAACCAAATGAATGTATTCATTTGATTGGTTGTGAACGATATTCATCATATAAAGGTTATTCAGCAACATTTCAATATGCTGGAGATTATGTGGATAATAAACCTAAGTAAGACATCAATCAAAATTAATAGTTTTATTTTTATATTGTGAATAAAATATATATGTATGTAGAGATAATTGGGGTCGAAAATGGTGTCATTTAGTTGCTATTGATGCACTTTATTTTCGTGATCAAACAACACAATATCATATGAAAAATATTAATCGAGAATTAATTAAAGCGTATACTGGCTTTTATACGTCAAGACAAACACTCGATTGTGCATATCCTGTTGCGACAGGAAATTGGGGTTGTGGTGCATTCAATGGTGATAAACAATTAAAAGGTTAAAATTTATTATATTTTATCAAAATGTTTTATTTTCTATATATATGTATATTTCTAGCAATTATTCAATTAATAGCAGCATCACAAACTGTACGTCCATTGATTTATGCAGCTTATGGTGATAAATATTTAATCGAATCATTCTCTGTCGTTTTTGATCATTTAATAAATCAACGAGCTACTGTGGGTGATTTATATCGTTATCTTCAGGAATATTCTAAAGTACCTTCACCACCATCTCTCTTCGAATATATTCTACGAACACCTGCTAAACAACTTCGTTCATAAACAATTAATACTACTTCATTTTTTTTTGTATATATATTTTTTAATGTCTTTGCTGAATAATATTGTAAACCTGATATCACTTTATGATTCATCTTCAATAAGCTGAAAAGATTCGAACTTAGATATACACGCTCGGAAATCATCGTTTACATAGAAAAACAATGATACATGAAGGTCATGCACAATTTCTGTATATGACGTGCTTAGACGTAGTGATTCAACAGTAAAAACTGTGTTTCTGCTCTTTACTCCTAATAGATTTCGATCATATATCTTTGCATGCGTTTACTAGTGTTTATTATAAGATTGATGTAGAGTTATGTAATTTTAACATACCTTCTTTATTAGCAGACTTTAATTGATTTCTTTTTCATAACACAATTATATTTTTTCTATTAACAATAAATCCAAAACTAAACTGAAATTGTTTAATTTGGAGGTGTGGGTGTAGAAACTGAATCTATCGAATTCCGCACCCACACCCTCTAGATTAATGATAAATAAATTTGAAGAGACTGAATCTGTACTTAGCATTGATCTTGAGTGCGGGTGAGGGTGAGTCTCAGGATGACCGTGACAATCAAGATGACAGTAGACAGATGGTCATGGGAAGCGATTCAAACATGTCAGTCAAAGAAATGTGGCTCACTTCATACAGAAAACACTAGCTGATCAAACTACAGTTCTTACTTTGCCATCATTCAAACTACTTTCTACCCTTCTTCCATCAACACGATAATCTTACAAGGCCTACATGAGCGTGCTACCTGTACTTTTTCAAAGTCTATCTGAACGTAGTATGTGTAGTTTTTTAAGATCTACCTGAATATGGTAAAATCATAAGAAGGAGCGAACATATACGCAAAAAAAAGTGGCCCATCTGACATAGAAAAATGATCCAACCAACTTCGAGTCCCTAGTATCTTATAAGTTGAAATAATCTGCATGGATATCCTAGCTATCGTAACACGACGAATCAAGCAAATTGTGATTCAAACTGAACTGTTTTCTATTCAATCTTTGATGACAATATCAAAATTTGTATGACGGGAAGAGTCTAATCAATTTAAAAAATGAGGCTTATTTCTTATGACACCTCGTTGGTATCTCCTTTCTGTATCCTTGAGGATTTGACAAAGATTCTGCAAGGATTCCTTGTTTTTTTGCTTGCAAGAAGTGAGCAAAACATGCAATCATTTTCTGCAAACACAACTTACTGTTGTTCCTACATTCTACCTCTTGAAAAAATTGTTTTCTGTTCGTATTATTACACTTTTTTCCTAGAAAAAACTTGTTCATCGTCATAATTGTATTTTCCTTATTGGAAGAATCTTTTTTCACTCATTGCTGCATTCGCTTTCCAGTAAAAAAACATCTTTATTCTCATACTCAAACTCTTTCCCAGAAAAAAACCTGTCCATCATCATTTATGCGCTCTCCTTCCAGGAAGAAAATTTATTTACTCCGATCCTGACGAACTCTTTCGCGGAAAAGAAACTTGACTATCATCATTCCTGCATACTCATATACAGACGTATTTTTCTTGCTCTCATTCTCATATTCTCCTTCCTAAAAAACACATATTTCTTTTTACTTCAGTCTTTTACGCAAAAAAAACTTATTTATCATCGTTCTTATATTTTCAGTATTGGAAGGAATATTTTTTACCCTCATTGTTAGATTTTTTTATTCAGAAAATTTATTGTCACTCGTACGAAGAGAAAGAAATTATTTCACAAGTCAGTAGTAAGTAGGAAGTGTCGTGTTATTGTTTTGTCTTTCGGTGGATCGATGTAAAAACCGAAGATGAATTCGAGTACTTATAAATCCAGTAAAATTCTTAACTAGTCGTGATAGAAAGAGTGAGCAAAACAGTCTCATGTTCATATACTTTAGCGTCAGTAAAAATGAGATAATCTACTTCACCACATTAAGTACCTAATTGAGTTTAGAATTTAGCACAAAAATGAGTGTGAAGAGGATAATCTCTTGACTATATCTCGTAACGTAATGTTGAAACGAATAATTTCATAATTATAATAAATGACCACAACTAAAACTTTTCAGCCTATGATATTGGTTTCGAATTCTAATAATCATACTAAAACTTTACAAATGTGTTCAACAGAACAGTCGAAAAGTCAGATATTCGAATACTTCGACGACTAAGGTCTTCGTTGAGTGAGACGCTTCTAGAGAGGTTGAACAGATGAATTCTTCGGTATAAGCGCTATAAGCATGGCTTTTGTTCTTTCGACTCTTCTTATTGAATGGACGAGTATATCTACGTGTGTTTTGCATTAGAACGATACGATTTTTAGGACAAATAAATAAATAAAAAATTCTCATTAGTGTTGGATATGAATTTTGAAGATTCACCAAGATAAGAATACGAAAAAGGTTTTTGCATTTATTACAGCCCATTATATATTTTCCAAGAAAGTGAAATGTGTTTTCGTCAATTTATGTAACTATACTAACGTGGAGCAGACTAAAATAAATTCCATCGAATGTTAATAAGGGAAGATAAAGTCTATTTTTTCTCGTCTAATGTGTCTCTTTATTCAATGTTGTATACACTATTTTCTTCGTTCTTGAGGACGAAATAAAAAGTAAAATTTCTTCTTTTTTCCTTATTTATTCATTAGATTATTAAGTATCGTAAAATGGGTATAGAAGTGAATTGTATCGTCAATTCTAAAGAAAGTTCAATAGATTTAATTACTTGTCTCATTTGTCACGATATTCTTTGGAAACCTGTAACTTGTGAAATATGTGAAAATTCCTTCTGCAATGATTGTATAACATTATGGTTAGAAAAACATCCAAGTGTTTGTCCAAATAATTGTGATTATAAACAACGTCAACGTCCACCACTTCTTCTCGTTCAATTACTATCAAAATTACAAGTCATTTGCAAAAATCAACATACTGGTTGCGAAGATGTTTTATCTTATGAATCTCTTGAGCAACATGAACATGAATGTGATTTTCATATGGAACAGTGTACTGGTTGTTCTAAATCAATGTTGAAGAAAGAACGAAATATACATGAAAAATTATGTGATCAGATTGAACTTCAATGTCATGTATGTCAAGTAAAATACAGACGAATTAATGGTCATAATGAGGTGGAATGTTTACAAAACTGTTTAGTTCAACTACAAATCAAAATTCAAGTACTTGAAGAAAATGATAGAATACAAAAAACAACATTAGAGAGTAAGTGATAAAGATTAAAACTAAAACGAATGAATCATTAGTAATCTGAGTTGAATAGAATCGAGAAATAACGTTCTTCTTCATTTCTCTATACTTTAATGTAATTATTTCTATTTCAATTTTAGATTTGAACAAACGACGAATAATCCAGTTTGACGATCTTGTCCCTAATACAGGACAAGAACACACTGGATGCATTATCTATAATTATGCCAATTTAAATTGGGGGAATTTCAACTATCTACATATTTCCTCTGCAATTTCACAAGATCTAATTATGCGTAGTGCCATTGGAATATATCAAAATGGTTGTCTTCAAACCAATGCGTTTACACACGGTCAAGCATATGTGGCTTCATGTACTCTTATTCCACCGGCATTTTCGACAATTTCAAGCTCAAACGGAACATTTAATATTCATTCATTTTATACTAATTCGATGAATCTATGGTCAGTAATTGTTATCAAAGGACTGAAAGATAAGAATGAGTTATATACAAAAGGTGTTTCTCTAACGAACCATTCATCAAAAATTATTCTTGAATGGCTCAATATTGATCAAATTCAGTTTCATCCAGGACCACCACAAGGACATGGCAATGCGCAGATGCGTATCAGTCGTTTGATTCTATCATAGTTTATTTGTATCGTTCTTTAATAAATATATTTAACTTACAGTTGTAGTTGAAAATCCTTTTATGTTTACATCTTGAAATAGTTTTGTATACTGAATGATAGTCTATCATGAATACTATTACATATTATATTTCAAAGACATAATATATTAAGTTTTAATGAACATTATAGAATTATTTACCATTATTAAAAACTTTTCAGCTAAAAAGGTGTAAGTTCAACATCAATAATCGAAACCGTCATATATCATCGTCAGTTGTTATGATATGATACTTTTTGGTAAAACTTTTCTCGAGTCATAATCATAAAAATGAGAACGTATTGTTGTTGTAGATGTTGATGAATAATATGTTGTCGATAATTTTTCGTTGAATTTGTTCATATGGGTAAAAGATAATTCTAAGTAAACTATTTGTTTCACAATTCCTATTTCGAAAAGAAACTACTAAACATAAGCATTTATCGAAGTGCTATTGTATTATTTATCAACTTTCATATAAAATGGCGAACATAGGCAGCGCAACTTCAATTTTTTAGGGGACGCAGTTGCTGGCGCGCATAAATGACTTTTATTGATTTCTTTTTCATAACATAATTATATTTCTTCTATTAACAATAAATCCAAAACTAAACTGAAATATTTTACTTTTCTAATAATTAATGATTAAATCTTCTATATCACTGGTCTTTAAATACAATTTTCAATATGTACATTTTATTATTATTATATTCAATTGAATGTAACATGATAGTTTAGTACTTGTATATTAGCTGTATTATTCGATTCTCATTCATTGTCTTTTTTCTTTAATCTATCAAATAAATCATCTTTGTATTATTCAATGTGTTACTGCATTTCATTATAGAACAATTGACTATTTAATGAATAGTTAGTTCCGTTGGTTTCCGTTGAAAAAAGTATAGATAAGAGTATCATGAAGAAGATAATGATCAATATAATTACTTTCGACTACATACAATAACAACAATTCAAGAGAAGGACAAGTTAGAAAATATATTTCCTTGAAATCAATGGTATATTTTTTCAGATGAGTGACTCATCTGGTAGATAAATCACTGTAAGTCATGCAAATAAAACGTTCGATACTATTTTCTTGAATAATAGAAAAATGAAACAAGTACTTTATTCTCAAGATTTTCATCCAGAGAACTATGTAAAAAAATATGATATTAGTAAAACAATAAAAATGATAAAAGATAAAAACGTACAAATCAATATTTATCGATGAGCGTAGTACGGACATATATAAAAAATATTTGTTCTTCAATTTGTTATTTCATCATCTTTTGATACATCTAAATTTGTTTTATACCATGAACTTATGTATAATTTAACTATATCACAAACGAGAGATTTATCTGGTACTTTTTGATTTGTACCATATAGAACAGCCTAGAAATAGCTCATTAAATAATATCAATTTATTTAAGATTTACTTACTGTTGCTGTATCTTTTTTAACATCACTTGTAAGAATTTCTCTTACACATTGTCGTGTATCTTCAAGAAGTTTATCAACAACACCAGGTTGTGTATGAATTTGAGTAACAGCAATATGCATACTGTACATTTAAAGAGAAAAATAAAAATTCAATAAATTTCTTTCTTTTTTGTATGAAATACCCTGATGGATTTTGTAAACCAATTAAATGCCATCCTTTTGCATGTAAACCATCGAATAAATAATAAATATTAAATTTATCCGAACTTATTGCTACTACACTTACATCAGGTTGATGTAACAGGTAAAGACCATCAATTTCACTCCATCCTTTAGCAATATCTCGTGCTGTTTGAATAATTTTTCGTGTTGCTTCAATATAACCTTCGCGACCATAATACATCAGTGTAGCCCAACAACAAGCAATTAAATAACCAGAACGACTACCAGCTATCGATGGCGAACCATAAAGACCACCAGGCCAATCAGCCAATGCATAAAATTGATATTCACGAAGTTGTTCATTTCGATAAAGAATTACCGATGTACCTTTAGGTGCAAATCCATACTAAAAAATAATTTCATTTCTTGTTTTTTCTTATTAAATCAAATAGAATATACTTTATGTGTATCACAACTCATACTCATTACACCTGGTAGACGAAAATCGAATGGTTCTAATGGAAAACCAGCTTGATCCATAAACGGAATAAGAAAACCACCTAAACAAGCATCAACATGTAATGGAATATTATATTCCACAGCAATCTATATGATAAATGAATTATTTAATAAAATATTTTATATACAAAAGTACTTTAGAAATATCTCCAATAGGATCAATAACACCATGTGGAAAATTCGGTGCTGATGCGACAATCTAAAAACAATTTTATTTTGTTTTTTTGAACAATTAATCCTATTAATTGAATTACTTACCATACAAGTATTTTTAGTTATGGCTTGACGCATTTTATCTAGATTAACTTCACGTGTTTGAGGATTTAATGGAATACGTCTTAATTTTATTTTAAAATAAGAACAAGCCTAGAATAATTAGTTTTTTTTATCAAGAAATTTTCAATTGAATTTAATATACTTTATTAAATGCTGGATGTGCTGTTGTTGGCATGATACTAAAATATTGATATCATATAACTAATTAAAATAATATTTTATTATGATACAATGAACATTTATCATTAGAGCATAGAAAATTCATGTTATTAACCTTTTAAACTAACGAAGACATTTTTCTTTTCATACTAAATTAGTTTATTCATTCAGAAAAGATGTGTCAATTCGAAAAGCCTAAAGTAATCTTACAATGGATCAATTATCTAATATAAAAGACATTCTCTCTTGCGTTCTATCGTTTTTCTTTTTCTTCTTCTTCTTCTTCTTTTTTAATCCTATTGTATTGATGATGAATCCATTTGCATTGATTATGGTTTCTTATTGAGCTCGGTCTCTTTGGAATGTCTTCTTTTTGTTCCATATTTATTAAGTTAATCAGTAGCTCGTCGTTATTCATTGTGATCATCATCATCATCGTACTTATAACACTCACTATTTACTCAGCATTCTATGGATTCTTTTTCTCGCATAGAAGAATTTAAGTCGTCATGCTTTTTTCAATCGTTCATAGAGTGACCGACAGACACAAATAAATGACACATACATATATAGATCTAATGTTGACAAAGCCCAATAGCCATTTATATTTCATACGTTTATAGTTCGAATACACGCATGAATCTGATTGATTGACATACGCGTGATTCTTTATTCTTATATGCACTCTCTCCTCTTCACTAAAATATATATATATCAAAAGTAAGAGTTTCAATAAAAAATAGTGACTATGCATTCTAAAGAACGAGAGAAAAGAAAGAGTTACTTTATTGGTGCCTTACTACATAGTACACTTGAGTACTCAGCCGTTCGCAGTAAAAAGGTCTAGTTCATTGATTACATTAACAAAAAGAAAGTAAGTAAGTAGAAAAGAATATATAATCAGAAATTAACTTAATTTGTTATTACAAAGACAATTTTTCTTATTTTATATATCATCAAATAGTGCAAATACTAGTCGACATAACTTGTAAATTACTGCGAGCAATCATGCAGATTATATATACATATATGTGTTTATTTGCATATTTAAATAGTAGAGATAAAGATAAGATAAGAAGTATGATCTATCATATTAGTAATGGATATCTATCTCTAACAGTATCATTACACAGGTGTTAGTCAGATGTATACGAATACTGTGTTTTCTTCTTCTTCTTCTTCAACAAAAAATGCAAAAGAAGCAAATGTTGATCGTAATCTAATATGACAGAAAATGACTACCTCGTCAAACACATGTTACTAATAAAAATAGATAGAGATACAATAGGGATTTATAGTATACAATGACATTAGCTTGAGATATAAAACAAGGTAATACACATCAATAGAGAAGGTGAAGAATAAAATTGTTTAGTGCAAGAATAATAATATACGTATATATAAAAGAAACAATGAAAGTGTCAGTGTCTACTGCTTATTATATTGATTTCTTTCTCTATTTTATATTCATGTAGACACTATTGAAAAGTGATTATGACATTTTTTTTCTCTCTTCATTTTAATACAGGATAAAAAAAATGATATGTTCTGTTTTGCGGATGCACGATCTAATTCAAAGTCATTTCTTTTTTGTGTATTCTACATGAAGAACAGATACGTGCACATGCATGAGCTCTATCAACGGAAATTAGAGCATGCACATTTAATTGCAGTCTCGTTAGTTACCATGGACCGCGTGACTGCTTCTTCTCAAGGCAAGAAATCTTGCTCGCATACATATAGACAATGTCGTTCGAATGCGATTAATGACAAAAAAATAGAAAGATACAGACAACGTTCTTTTCTTCTTCTTCTTCTTCTTCTTCTCTCTCT